GGATCTGAAATAAAACAATGGATGGAAGGACGTTTCTGGTGGAGGAAGCAAGCTCCCAGCCCTAGAACTGAGCCACCGAGAGATTCCTTGATCTCTGTTCTCTTAGAATGTTTCCCCTCTCCTAGATTCTGTGCTTGGAGTCAAGGTAAGAAGTGCAGCCTGAGCTCCCAGTGAAGCCGTCGGAGAACAAACCTCTCTGAATTAGAGCGAAAGCTGCCCTGGTAGGCTGACTCCTGCCTGTGTACCAGACCTGGTTGTTATGGCAATAGGAGGTAAAGGAAACTGAGAGAGGATGGTGAAATGTTGCTGTGGGCAAAGGGCTTCTGTGCCTTATATAAGGTATGTTCCAAATATACGCTTTTGAATAAGAGGCAAGCAGGCTACATGCCAGCTCTAGGGTACTGTGTGGCATATGACATCAAGACGATTCCCTCACAGTCCTCCAAGCCTGTCTCTGCCTTTGTTGTTATTATTCTGGGGGCCTAATGGGTTATGATTCCCAAGAAAGGAATCTACATTCAGGAAAAGGAGCAAAATAGTAGCAAAATGGTTTCCCCACGGGTAAATAAGCTCCTTAAAATTAATCAATTGTTTTTAAAAATAATCAGGAAAGGCAATTTATTCACTTCTGCTTCTGATAGAATCTTTAAAGAAGATGGCATTAAGCTGCCCAAACATCTTGAGAAAAGGGAAACATTTCTGTTGATTTTCCTGATATTTTCCCCTTAGCTTTGAATTGAGGTAGAAGCTGGGGCCAGCGGAGCAACATGGCAAAGCAGAGAGAACACTGGGCTAGAAGTCAGGAGACACAGGGTCCAGTGTCTGCCCTGCCTCGAACCATCTTTGTGCTTTGGCGCAAGTTACTGACCTTCATCTTAGTTTCGTCTTGGATGATTCAGAGCTATTTTATACACAACTGAATTAGGCTGCCGCAGAAGGTAGTGACTTTTATGTCACCATCAGCATAACTTTAAAGCCTGACTGACCACTTGGTGACTCTAAGAACTAGCATTTGTCTAATGCTCTCAGATGTCATGAGGCTCTATCACATGTGTCATTTCATATGATGACCGCGACAATCCAGTCACAGAGATACCTTGATCCCTATTTCATAGACAAGATCGGAGAACAAAGCCACTAGGCCAAGCTCAAAGAACAATGATCAGAAATTGAGGACATCACCCCAGATCTGACTGGTGCCAAGGGTCCCCCTCAATCCTAATAGTCTGTGCTTCTATCAATAAAATGAGGGCATTGGATTAAACCAAGGGTTTTAAGAACTTTTTGTAGCAGAGAAATTTTTTTCCCCTCAAATGAAATCTATTATAAAATGCCAAAATATAAAACAGATCATTACAGTTCCCTTCTGGTTGAAAAAAGAGATGGCTTCCACCCAAACAAATGACCACCAAGTGACAAATGGATAATAAATGTGGTATATCCATATAATGGAACATTATTTGGCCATAAAAATGGATTAAGTACTGGTCCATGCTACAGCATGGGTGAACATCAAAAACATTATGCTACGTGAAAGAATACATATTGTATGAGTCAAAAAAGACTACATATTGCATGAGTCTATTTATATGAAGTGTCCAGAATAGGTCAATTCAAAGACAGAAAGCAAGTTGGTGTAGAGGGGCTTTGGGGAGTGACTGCTAGATACATATAGGGTTTCCTTCCGGGGAGACAAAATATTTGGAACTACATAGGGGTGATGGTTGCACAACATTGCAGATGTACTAAACGCCACTGAACTGTACACTTTTAAGTAGCTAATTCTGTATTATGTGAATTTTACTTCCATTAAGCTCTGTGTATGGATATGTGATGGTTCCAGAGCCCTAATCCATTAGCCTTCCCCTTCCCATGTTCCTAAGTGCCACCAAAGAACGCTGGAATGAAAATCGATAGTCACTAGATATTACAAAATGTTATCATACATAGTTCCAAATAGTTCTCATATGATAGCTATTTTATTCTTTCAGGGGCCAAAGGTATTTCCTCCTAACCCAACAAATAAATATGCCCGGGCCAATGACATCTTGCTACTTAGAAACAGAACTTCCCATTGGCGACCAGCTTCAATGTCAATTCTAGTCCACAGTGATCTAGCTGCTTCGATTTTAGGATGTATCGTTGGTTTTAAACTCAAAATTCTACTTTAAGTATACCAGGAAAAATAATGGTAACTGAACGCTATTTTTTGTTTGTTTGTTTGTTTGTTTCACGTTTTAGTAGATGGTTTTATTGTTGAGTAGTAAACTAAGCATTTTTAAGTGCCTGCTATATATTAAAAGGTTTTCAAGTTGTTTCATTTAATGTCATTATCCCCATTTTACAGAAAAAGATACTGAGGTGCAAAATAGCTTCACAATATCCCCAAGGTCAGAATTTGAATCTCAGTCTCTCCAGCTTAAGAAAAGACTTTTTCAACTATGCCAGATGGGTATCAGCAGAGTCACAAGTTCCTCTCTCCAAAGAAGGCATGAGGACTGATTTCAGTCCCACTACAAAACTGACCCCAGCCTACAGGCCCCTATCTACTATTTTTTTTTTTTTTTCCAGTCTGTGCAGGGAAAGTGAAGACCTACTTCAATGATCTGGCTGACAAACTCTACTCAAGAAGGAACTAATGAAGGACACTTCGGACCCTCTTGCTAAAGAGCTGAAGGGAAAGACTAGCATACCATTTGTTTTAAAAGGTTTAGGTCGGATCCTGTACAAATGCAAGAAACTCTCGCTTCTAAAGGTAACTTCCATCCTCTAAGTCTACGCGACACCATTTTCTGCAGTTGGAATGACACAGTCTCAGATTTGGACATGTATGATTCATCACTGAAACACTGCATTTTCTGTGGGCATAAATATGGTGCTTTTCCCAAGTTATTCTGAAACATTTCTACACAAAGGAGCTGAAAATAATTCAGCCTTTTTCTCTGTGTGATGAAGTTATCACAATGATAATAATAACCTGTTACATATAAATGCACTTTACAGATTATAAAGTGCTTTCATGGACAATTATTGCTGAGTTTAAAAACAAAGGTGACATTAAAAGAAAATACCAGTAATGACATTTTAGCTATTAACATATCCCCTTAATCTTGTCAGTAAGAAAAGGGTGAGATGAAAGAGTTTTTTATGAGAATTGAAGTCAGGTTTCTCAAAGTTCTAATTGTTCCTGGTTACCAATTAAAAAAAAAAAAAGTCAACGTTTTTTAAATTAAAGATAAGGTGCTGCTACTTACAATTTAATAAGTTGTAGATGCCTTTCCTATCTTTCCCAACGGTCCTGTGCCCCATTGCTATTAAATTTTAGATCTGCAGCTCATGTGGATTATACAGAATACCAGGAGTACATAAAGACAACAAGAATAAGAAAAAAAAGAACTAATTATGTTTTGATGCCATTTAATGTGGAAATACAGTGAGATCCTTACATCTTTTTATGTTTTTGGTGGCAGACTTTAAGACGGCTCAAGCCACACAATGGCCTTTGGACTTGTTCCCACCAAAGGAATCAGAACGCTAATGTGTCAAGGTCATCTTTAAAAAGCTGTACCACTGTGCTGTACGGGCATGAATAGCCACCAAAATCTCCCCAGAGATTAGTGTCTCAAAATCTAATCTCTATGGCGAGATCAATAACCATTAGGGAGTAGTAGATTTTTGAGGAACGAGTTGTATTGCAGTTAATCTGACCAAGCTGCATTAATCCACTGCTTTTTCCTTAGTGTTGACTAAAGCAAGCAGCTGCATGCATGTATAGGTGGACACTGTCTGGCTGCCGTGGTGCTTGAGCTGCTCCAAGGATTTGCCAGACCTGAAACACCATCACTTTGAAGCTCTAATGGGTGGAAGCCACATCTGGCAGGATAGGCCCATACGAACCACCAGTGAATGTTCTCAGCCGAGTCTTGCCAGCAATGACAATCCGTGCCTCACAGTGGGAAGAGCACCCTAGAGGAGAACTCAGCAGAGCGGGTGCCATCCAGCCTGACTCAGAGTATGACTCCTTCAAAGTGACATTTCAGTGGTGCTCAACCTTGGCTGCACAGTAGCATCACCTAGGGAACCTAAAAATGGCCAGGCTTCCAGCCCAGTGAGTGAGGGGTCACAGTAGAGGAACCTGAAAAGCATCACCTCCTTAGGGAAGTCAGCGTCTCTCTCAGTCTTAAACCATAGCTGACAAGAGCTTTACTCGTCCGGGAGCATTTGGTTCATTCTGATTTGTCAGGGGTACGAGGAGTGCTATTTAACATATTTGTCTTTGATTTTTCAGCGTAAAACCAACGCAATGATATTTACTCAACCCTTACCTTGTGAGAGCTAGAAATTTGGTTTTTAAAAAAACACCCAAGTGAAATGTCATTCATTTTAGGGGTGATTCCATGGAGGGAGGGATGGGGGGCACACCCCAACCAACATCCCAGTATGACGTCTGCCGGGCGGGTGGTACCAAGGGGAATTAGAACTGTTGGAAATATTATATCCGAACCACCAGAAGTTCATTAAACTGGCTCTGCAAATGTTGAAACAAAAAGCTTATGCTGCAAGAGGGTAAATATCACAAAGAAAATGAAAGGGAGGCGATCCTTACCTCGTCCACATGACCTGCGGCCCTCTCCTTCATTTTGTTTTAGTCTATCCCTGTTTAAGGTTTCAAAGAGGTGCACCCTGCGCCCACCAATGGGCGAGAGGAGACCCTGTCACTAGGGGAAAGTGGGTTTTTAGAAGAGACTTTCCAGATTCAGATAACAACCAGCTGGAAATTCATCAGCCGAACCCCAAATGTCAGGTTCATGTATAGGCTCCATCTCCTGATTGAGTCGCTATATTGAGAGGCTGATATTCGTAAATGAAAATACGATTTATGAGGTTGTTTAATATATAAATCTCACTCGTGATGTTAACACGTTCCAAGAACTTAACTTACCTGTGTAGGACATGGGCAGTGGAGTTGATAGAAATAAAGGATATAAAAAAATACTTACTGGCTCTCTCTTTTCTTCTTAAGTGGGTCCATGAGGCGCAGTGTGTCTCTGATGACGGCCACTTTCACTTCTTCATCAACAAGGCTGGGAACGTTTTCAAACACCCCTGGAGAAAGCTTGAATGGGTAAGAATTCCATGTTACGGAGGAGAGATTCAGGGATTCAGGGCCAAGTGACTATCAGTAACCGATCCTCCCACTAGATTCGGTGGTTGTACTGTTAGACTTTGCTTACGTTAATCTAGAGGTGAGAATATTTTAAAGGCTCCCGCTATACTACCTTAAAAATGTCAGTTTGCTTTTACAAATCAAGAAATTACACGAAGAGGAAAAAATAGTACTGGTTTTCTGATTATCAAAATTATACATGCTCATTGTAGAAAATTTGGAAATAAAGAAAGGGGTTAAGAAATTTAAAAGAATCCACAAAATCCTCTTAAAATCCATTATTAGTATTTGGTGTATTTCCTTCCAGTCTTTTTTATGCATTTTTTTTTCCAAGGGGGGAAAATATAACTACTGTTAAATGTACTATTTATCTTAGTGATTCAAGCATGTCGACATGGCTAAATCATATTCATAGAATTTCAATTAGTTCATCTCCTGAGGCTAACTAATTAGTTCATGTCAAAACTGATGGAAAGGCTCACAGCTGCTTCTATATTTGCAGATCTTAAAAAATTGGAAGAAGAGCATGCTGGGAAATTACCATAGGTCAGATGGGTCTTATATTAATAGACTACGTTCAGAGCTCACCAAAACTGAAATTACTTAGACTTGAACAGAACTTTGCTGTGCAAATTTAGGGATGTCAAATCTTGTTTAGCCAAGTGAGTAACACGAGAGCAGAAACATTCAGTTGGATGGCAACAGATTCAATGAGACACACTCAAAAGACTTACTTCTTGCTCATGTTCGATTCTCATGCTGGGATTTGCATTAACTTCGAGTAGTACAGGCTTCAGATTTTTCATAAGAAGAATGTCAAAGCCTAAAATCTGGGCAGGATAAACATAATTCAGAATTACTCCCTCTAGCTACAATTTCTTTTTAGGATCTGAGGATGGTATTAGGGTCAGGAAAGTGAAAATGAATTCAAATGTGGTCCCTGGCCTGGGCCTCGACCCTGGCCTCTCTTGTCCACAGCCCCTGTTCCTCTGGGCATACTTGTCAGGCCAAATGGACAGCAGAATGTGTTACAGGGGCCTCGATAATGGGATGAGTTTCCACAGTGCATTTCGGCACTACCGTATCATCTGAAGTGCTCTAAGATGATGACCTCTTTCTTCTTTAACAGGGTTTTATTATGTTAAGGATCAGTAGTAGCCCATCAATTTCTCCCTCTCCTTTTGCCCTCCTCTCTTAAGTTGCTTCTTAGCTAGACCTCTGAAAACTCGAGGCTACCTTTCTTAACCTTGGGTGTACATCGGTGTCACATAAAGACCCCTTTCGAAACCGCCACTCATCCCCCAACTCACATCTATGAGTCAGACTCTTTCAGAGTGAACTCAGGCAAATGTATTGTGAATAACAAATCCCCCGGGGTGATTCTGATATACCCTATTAGCTACGGCGAAGGGAATATTTATTACCTACCTACTAGGCACCAATTATTCATAATCTCATTTAATCCTTGTGACAGTGCATTTGAAGTAGAGATTATGTTCTCCATTTTATACAGGCAGAAACTGAGTGTGACAAAGGCCAATGGATCTCCCTAAGACCACCTAGACAGGATGTGAGATCCAGCTAGTTCAAGCTGGATTCCTCACCCAAGCAGGAGAGGCTACAAAATTTGTGGGACCCGGTGCAAAATGAAAATACAAAGCCCCTTGTTCAAAAAGCATTAACAATGTCATAATAGTGGTGACAGAGCATTAAACCAGGCACGGAGGCCTTTAGAATATAGGGCGCTGTGACTGTACAGACCACGTGCCCACGAAGCCGACTCACACCCAAAGCCGAATCCAACACCGTTATTGAACGCCTGCTCTTGAATCCAGCAGGCTGTCTCAAGTGAGGCGTTCTCTTCTTCTGGGCTCACAAGCCCTCGGCCACCCGTGCGCCTCGTTCCCTCTGCCCGAGACAACCCCTCACCTAGATGATCCCTTCTCCTCCTCGAGATGGCAGGACCTAATTAGATTCTGACTCAGACGACTCTGAGGATGTCAGATTCTTGAGAAGACTCTCATTTTCTCTATAGGAGGTAATAAGGTAGAAAGTTTCTACCATAACTGATACAATCCTAAAGTTTCAAAAAATAAGGTGGAGAATAAAGAAAAGAAGATGTAGCTGTAGCCCCTCTGTGGTGGACTCGAGAAGAAAAGATGAGAGGAAATCCATTTACTCATCTCTATAGAATGTGCGTTAGTTAAATGATAATTATTAAACCGTAGCTTCATCCTTATTAATGAAATCAGAGCCTAAATGGCCATTTGGGGGGATAATTCAAGACAAGGTTATTCTTCAAATAAGGGCAATAAGGATGAGAAATTGGGAAAAGTCATCTTCACTCTATTTTTCTTTCTCTGATCATGAAAAGAAAGGAATGGAAATTCAGTAGAAAATGTCACATGTATTATAGATCTGCTTAATAATATATGACACGTGGATATGAGTGATGAGGCCTTTAAGAGACTCTGGTGACATCATCAGTCTAACTTCAGACCTGGTCTGAGACACGTGATGTTGATGAGGCTACAGAGAATGGTGGGCTGCAGTGCCAACGTTTATCATTCTTAGTCATCAGTGCTTGCTTTTTGCTACATCCTATGATTTTGGACTTCTACCTGCTCAGCCTGGTAGAGTCCCCCACGTTCAGCTCACAGTAGTTTTGTGAAGGTAACGCTACAGGAAAGCTGGAGAGATGGGTGGAGAAACCTCATCAGCCACGTCGACCTGCACCCGCCAGTGGCATATTTTCCGGAACCTAAACTTTGTATCTATAGTTGACTATGTTGGATCTTGCACAGGTATGCTCTGGAGTCAGAAAGACTTGGACTGCGGTCCCAGCTCAGTCTCTCATACCGGCGAAACGACTCTAGGTTCGGTGCTCAGCCTCTGAGCTTCATTTCCCCATCTAAAAACGGGAGCTAACGAAGGCTACCTTGAAGGGCAGTTGATCATAGAAGCAAAAAGCACCTAGGATCATGTTCGTCAGATAGGAGGTACTCAGTGTACGCTGGCTCCCTTCCCAGTTTCCTACTAATCTCACCAACAAGAAATGGCATTTGTGGCTTCGAAGTCCAGGGGAGCTCATTTCAAACCTTAGTTCTGCCTTTAACTTATATACCTACAGGCCAGTTACTTAGCAGCCCTAAGCCCCAGTTTCCTCATCTGCAAAATGGGAATAAGAATAGTCCTTACCTTAGTTCATTCATTCATAAACTATTTATTGAAATGTATCCTATCTCCTGGCACTATTCTAGCTTCTGGAAATACAGTGGTGAACTAGACAAAGTCCCTGCCCTCATGGAGCTTACAATCTAGTAGGGGAGCCAGGATGAAATAAAGATAAAGTGATGGAAAACAGTTTGTACAGTACCAGAGACATAGTAGTTAATGAAGGCAGCTTGATCATATTTTTTTCACAAGTTCAAAGAAATACAAATATTTTTTTTTCAAAAGTTCAATAAAATATGTAGCACCAATGGGCCTCAATAAACAATCACGGGACTGGGAGGAGCTTAGAGTTGCCCTTGTCATAAAACCCAAGAATGACAGAGCTGGCAGAAAAATCAGGAATTTACTTGGTTCAGTGTTTTTCAAAATGGGGTTCTTGTCTAGAAAAGCACGGGAGAGGCCAGATCAGATCAACTTTTACCTATTTTACATATTGGGGTTCCCAGGGGGAAAAGCTTTATATATTTTTTAAATGACTAGTCTAGTCTAACGCCCACTTTATGTAGACCAGAAACCTGCAACATAGAAAGAGGTAAACCTCTCTCCATTCCGGTGGCAGAGCAGGAATTGTCAAACAGAGAGAGAGAGAGAGAGAGAGAGAGAGAGAGACCTTTTCAATCATGTGACACTCTGCCCTCCTCCAAGTAATTCAATCAGCAATTATGTGTTGTGCGCCTCCTACTTGAGGGTACCCTGGGGATTCAAAGATATCTGTTCTTCATCCCTGATTTCTAGAAGCTTCCAAAACAAGCTGGGGAGAACAGGGCCATGAGCCATTAATTGTAAATTCACACAAAGGCTCCAAGCTACATTCCAACGAGCAGGGATCACCTCTTGATTTCCAGAATTACACGACTATCTGCATCCACGGTATGCCCAACTGGGAGGTCCCAGGCTCCCCAGATTCAATACATCCAAGCTCACTGTCTGTGGCTGGCAGCCCCTAACATGGTCTCCATGGTCCTCCCCCGCTGGTGTCCATGCCCAGCTACACCTAGTGACTTCTTTCTAACAAACAGAATAGGGCAGAAATGATGGGATGTCACTTCTAATATTAGGTAATAAAAAGTCTGTGGCTTCCACCTTGGGATACATTCTCTTATTCTCTCACTCGTCATTCTGAGAGAAGCCAGCCTCCACGCTGTGAGCTGCCCGAAGGAGAGGCCCAGGTGGGGTGACAGTCAGGGGGACATGAGGCCTGCCAAGTCATGTGAGTGACCCTGGACCAGGATCTTTCCCCAGTCAAGCCTTGGAATGACTTCGGTTCTGGCCAACACATTCATTGTAGCCTTATGAAAGACTTCGAGCCAGAGGCAGGCAGCTAAGCCTAGATTCCTGATCCACAGAAACTGGGAGATAATAAATATTTGTTAGTTTAAGCTGCCAAGTTTGGGGATAATTTGTTATATAGCAAAAGATAATTAACAAGTCATCTTTCTCTAAAGGCTACTTTGCCTCCGTTATTCCTTATCCACCCAATCACACAAGCCAAAACCTCCTCCTTCATCCTTTACATCTACCTGCACACCAACTCCCGTGCGCTCTACCTCCAAAGAACTTGCTAGATCTGGCCCCTCCTCAGCGTTCTAGTCTGGATCAGGTCTTCGCCATCTTGCACCGGGACTACTTTGACAGCTTCCACATTCACCTCCTCGCTCTCAGCCGCACCCCTCATCTGGCACAGGGGCTGCCACAGTATTTTTATAAAACACAGATGGAATATTAACACTCCTCTGCCGAAAATCCCCGTCTATGAAATGAAGCCCAAGTCCTACAGCACGTCCTATAAATTCCTCTCTGACCTGGCATCTGTCTCACACCCCACTTTTATTCCCTCCCACTCACGACTGTACCTCTCGGGTTCCGACTGTGCTGAACTATTATTAGTTCTAGGATGCTTTCTTCCTCTCTGCCTTTATACTATGTTGCCTGGAAGACAATTTTATTTACCAAATATTTAATGAGTGCCTACTAAATACCTAGTACTGTTCTAGGCACTGGGGACAAAGCGGTGTACAAGACAGAGGATGTTTTAACATCCTGCCTCCTGGAGCTTATATTTTAGAGGAGGGAGACCACATGCACGTTAATAATGGAAGCAAGGTAAGAACATAGAGTGCGATGCAGTGGGGGGAAGGGAGGGGTTGGTGGCTTAGACGGGATGACCAGGGAAGGCTTTTCTAAGGAGGTGACATTTGTCACCCCGTGGTCTTCTGGCTTGCACAATTTCCAGTGAAAACTTTTTGGTTATTCTTTGTTCCTCTGAAAATAATGTGTTTTTTCTCTCTAGCTGCTTTTAAGATTTTCTTATCATCACTGGTTTTCCACAGTTTGATGAGGATAAGCTTTGATGTGTGCATGTGTGTATGTGTGTGTATCCTACTTTGAGTTTCTTAAGCTTCCTGAATTGTGGGTTTATAGCTTTTGTCAAATTTGGACAATTTTGGCCTTATATTATATTTTTTCCTGTATCTCTTCTGCTCAAGGAACTCCAATTACACCTATGTTAGACCCCTTATATTGCACTATAGGTCATTGGTAGTCTGTTCGTTTATTTTATTTTTCCTGTCATTTTCCTTTTTCTGTTTTACTTTGG